GAATTTACCCCTCATAAATTAAGCGACAAGGAAAAACTTGTTAAGTATTGGTACAATACTCTTAAAGCCTTGGACATATTCTGGGAGATTTGGAGAAATGAATATTTAACCAGTCTCAGAGAAAGAACGCAAAGGAACCATATTTCTGCCCGAAATATGGAAGTGAGGATACCACGTGAGGGTGAAATAGTATTAGTCAATGAACCGGTAGTCCCTCGTGGTACATGGAAATTGGCCAAGATCAAGGAAGTAAAAAAGGGTAGAGATGGAGAAATAAGGAACGCCATTATAGAAATGCCACATGGAAGATGCCTGAACAGGTGTTATACCCTTTAGAAATTGATAGCAGCCCTAACTCAAGAAATCAATCACCAACGTTTGATAATCCAACATAAGGACATGAAGAACCCGTTGCAGCTAGAACGAGAAGTGCTGTTAAGCGTCAACTAAAACAAGGAAATTCAAGTAAGTCTCGTCGTATAATAACAAATTTGGTTTTATTGGCAGTAATGTGTATTGTGGAAACCCGAGCATCTCAAGATAAAAGTAAGTGTAAATGGATTTCTGGCATCCAATTCAGTATTCCAAAACTATGGAATTACGATGAAGTGAAATTCAATCAATGTCTGAATGTAGTATACCGAAGAAGCTATCAGAATCGGAACAACGTACTACTGCTAATAGAATGGATGTTAAAAAGTGATCCAACTCTAGCAGCAAAGCTATTGCTTCAAAGAAATGACGTGATAGCTAAAAGTATCAAAGGTGAAGTATTGGTTGCTCCTTGTAACGCAGGAAGGGTCGAAAGACCTTTGGTGGAATTCAGTGTAAGTCTAACAAATCAATTTGAAATTGAACGTATCAACACTGAATTACAAGTATTAGAGCAACGAGTAGAGATACTCAATCCCGCTCCAATCAAATCAATCCCACAGCGGATTTGAGAAGATACTGAACAACAAGGAGATGAATTGATGATGGAAGTGGAGCATGAAATTGGAAAGGTGACGGATATCATAAAAGAAGAACTATCGGAAATTACAAATCATTGGAATTAATTAAGCTTGGTGTTCTTGTAATTGTATTGGTTTTAATTTTTATTGCAATCAAACTCAAATTAGGATTAATTAGAGGTTTATTTAGATCTAAAAATTCCATTAGGAGGGAACATCTAATAATAAGAGAAACTAGACCCCTTCTCACAATTCTTCCCACAAGAGAAACTAGTATTCCAGAGGAGGAGAATTTTCAATCAGTGGTAGAAACTTTTTAAACCTCTAGTTTGCGAACCTTATTGTATTTCTCCAAAAGCTTCAATCTCCCTCTCTCGGGAATGTCGCGAAATTTCAAGAATATTATAACTGGTCAAGTATT